TTTGCTGTTGTCAGAGACCCATGTTTAAGTTTTACACTGAGCAAAAAAACAAAAAGATTTTTTAAATGTTGTTATTATTATTTGTTCTTATTAATAATAATGATTATAATTGTTATTAATATGACACAATATTGGTTATTGATCTGTGTGGATACTCCATGTCATATTAAATTAGTTAAAAATGTGTCACCAGGCATCCGGTAGCGGCCTTCTTCCACCTCTTCTTCAGAGTCATTGCCATCATCGTGTACCTGCTCGCTGAGCTCATCAGCGGGAGCTTCATCGCCTGCATGGTCACAATAATCCTTCTGCTCTCATGTGACTTCTGGACAGTAAAGGTGTTTCTCTTATCACTTTAATATCTCCACTGTAGTGATGGAAGGAATTGTTGTATTGATTATAATTAATGATCTTGGTGGGGCTTTTTTGCTTTTTGTTGTGCATTTCTTAAAGGCAGAACTCAGAGGAAGAGTGGACCAGATGAGATAAAAGTTTTATCAGGAGCTTAAAAGCAAGATTGGAAATCGTCCTAAAAGCTTGCCAACTGTTCTCACTTTTTGGTTATTGATTATTAGATTTGAATGAATTGTTGGTGCTCGGATGAGATGATGAGCAGTCGTGAGAAAAACATGGTGAAGGTTTTGGTCACAGATTCAACCATCGTGTTTTTTGACAGACAGTTCGGAGCCTTGGAGACCGGATATTCTACAGCCGGTACTGCAGGCATCCAGTCGTAATCATGATGAGTTGAGGCAGAGTTTACAGGCCAGTCTGACATTTGTAATGTGCTGTTTTCTGTATTTGATCACTGTAGCTTCACTACCTGCAGTGAGATTTAAAGACCTCTGCTTTCTGGACGTTTGTCATTCACTGGTTCTTGTGGATGTGTTATTGTGTGCTGATGATGTTCACGTTGAATCGTTTAAATAGCCTCATGGTAGTGAAGTCCACATAAACTAGTCCTTCTAAAAGCAAATCTCACAACAAAACTGCCTCCTTGGAATGAATCTGAATCCCTTACCAACAGAAATGAACGACTGAAGAGCTCTGGGATTAATTTCAGTGGTCACTGGTATAGTGGTTAGTGCACTTGCTTGGCAGGTTGCTGGTACGATTCCAGCTGGAGACGCAAATCCTTTTTGGGGTTAAATTGAGATCATCTGGTGGGAAACTGCCAAATCAAGTGTGCGGCGCTATGTGCTGTGGTGATGCCTCTGGGCAAAGGGGCAGCTGAAAGCAGCATTTAAACTTTTACTGGAATAGAAAAAGTGCATGTAGAAAATCAGGAGCTAGATCTGATAAAAGATCTTTTATCTTTTATCAAGTATGTGGTGCTTTTTACCACACAGCTGAAGCTGTTGTGACCCTTTAGTGCGTACATGGTTTTTTTTTGCTGTTGTTGTTGTTAGTCTTGCTTAAATCTGCTGTAGAATCTTCTTGGATAATAGCTCTGGTTTTCCTCTGTAAGTCAGATGTGCAACTGGACTCGGTTTCCAGAGTTACACTGTTACACAAAGACTTGTGTAAATAATTAAACCTAGGAAACGGTATTTGGATCGAGCACCTTATGAATAAGATTTGCCAGAATCTCCGTAACAAAGCCATAAATCTCTCCATCTGCAGAACATCACTGGGAGGTTGATGGTTGGTCTGCGGTGGTGGAATCAGGTGGATGACAATGGACGAAGCCACTGGGTGTTTGAGTCGAGGAAGGTGAGATGCATCTCTGCTGAATCTGCTCCGGCTCCGACACGGGGCTTTAGCTAAACATGACCCTGACCTGTTGCTCTGTGTCAGGTTGCTTCGTCCAGATGTTTACTGTCAACGGGCCTTATCGTGTTCGCAGATGTCTAACTGAGATATCCTGTTTCCTTCTTCTTCAGGGTACAGGGAAGCAGCAAGCATCAGATTCAGAGTCCAGGATATTCTGGCTCGGACTGATTGTTTGCCCCGTCCTCTGGGTCATCTTTGTCTTTAGCACCCTGTTTTCATTCAGGATTAAATGGATGGTAAGTTGTTAGATTTAGTGATTGGACAAATGCTGTTTTTCTTATTATCAACAAATCCCATTAAAACTCAGTTACACCTTTATTTTTCTCACAGCACTGAGAAAATAAAACCTAGCTCCTGGCTGTGTCTCTCAGCTCTAAGCCCACTGAACCCTATTAGTTCTTGGTGCTTTCTTAAGTAAAATCAGACAATAATTACTTGGTAAACATGTGCCAGTGTTTCCCTGCTCTCACCCTGCATCTCAAGCTTGCTTTCAAAGTTTTCCTGCTGCACGAGGGGGGACGCAATTCTGAGTAATATCTCTAAGTTTTAAGCTAACTTAATTGATTTGTGGAAATTTGTTATAAAAAGAATCACTTATCACTATCAGTTTGCAGCTCACAGACGATGAGACTCGTTGGCTCCTTTGTGGACTTTTATTTGCATATAGACTGTATATGAAAGATGGGCATAGCCGTCCTGTGGTTTTGGGCTTCACAGTTTGAAGCCTCAGGGTTTTTGTTTTGGCTAGCAGATGGCTAGCAGCTACGTTACCTAAAACCACCTAAGAAAGAAGAAACGGTCCGTAGAGGGTAAAAAAGTTCTCTGTGGAGTTTAAGATGAGAGTCTGTGTGGACGGACTCACTTTGGGAGACACCTCCAAGTGGCCCCAAGAGAAACGTCACTTTTAAACTAAAGGTTTTATCCCTCGAGATTGTTGTTTGGGAGTCAGACACAGGAACACAGTAGACTCCTTCAGCCTGAATGCTCCATGTCTGAAATGCTCACAGTGTGATTTGAACCGTTATGAGGTGATGTGTCAGACATGCACCCAGTGTTTTCCCTGGAGGCTATATGCTCGTTTGAAGTTCACATGACCTGATGCAGTAAGGTCCCAGTTAAGGTTAGAAGTCATAACTTTTAAAAAATGAAAACTAAGATCTAAATCTTTGCAAGGAATCATCATAGAAAAAGATGGTTCCAGCTGTTGGCCCAGACAACAACTGCAATCATAAACTCCCTGTGACTGTGAGTTACTCCCTTAAAAAGATCAGTGCATCTCTTTATTGTGTATTCAGCATGTTCTCACGTGTTCTGGGAACATACAAGCAGTGAAGAGGATACACGTGGTTCGCCTTCAGCCTTTTCGTGGGATTTATTGATAATAAGGGGAATATGAAATATGACCAGGGTTTATTTCAGAAAACTGTCGTCTTCCTCACAGCCCGTCGTGATCATGGGCGTCGTGCTGCAAGGCGCCAACCTATACGGATACGTGAGGTGCAAAGTGGGAGGGAAGACCAGCTTAAAGAACATGGCTACCAATTATTTTGGACGACAGTTCCTCAAACAGGTGAGTTTTAATAAAACACACAATAAATAGTCTTTTAATTAAAAGTATTTGTCCTGTTTCTAAGAAGTCCTTTGTTTTTTTTTCCTCCTCAGACGCTGTCTAAGGAAGAGGAATCGTAGAGTGCAGCTCTGCGGCGTTAACACATCTGCATTATTCTCAATGCTCTGATATATAAACCTTCTTTTTCTCAGTGGACATGGGCAGGAAAGCGTTCTCAGAACTGGAAAGGGCAGTTTTTAATTATGTGCTTTCTTTAAATGACTCAGTAGAGTTGTCTTTATCTTCCACACAGAGGTCAGAGGTGTGTTTTCACTACCTGAGGTCCAGCAATAAATCCTCTGATTACCGAGAACTGCATGAGTGTAAAACGGCTGACACGTCGGAGTGACTGTAGTTTGTGTTGTAGTCTCACAGCTCCTTCAGATTTCTTCTTTTAGTTAGATTTCATTGTCTCTAATAACTTTATAAATTAACAGTAATTAAAGAACCTTTGAGAGATGTCGTACAGACATTTTGGTTTGTATGAAAGTGTGTAAAGTGTAACAGGAGATTTGTAAATATGTAAGTGAACAAACTGTGTGAAGCATCTTCTTTTGTGCAAATACATTTGTAACGTTTTTCCGAACTGGGTGCTCGTGTTTATTTATGCGGAGAGTCCAGAAAAAGTTCCAGCTTTTTAAAATGCAGGAGCCTCTAAGAAAAGAAAAGTGTAGAATAAAAAGAATCCTGTTAGAGATTCAAGAAAAAGGATATAAATAAGATTTGTTTCCTTTAACCAGCACTGTTCCAGGGTTTTGTTTAATTTCAGAAATGTATAGACTCAAAAGTAAAAATATTACTTAATGAACTGAGTTTAAACATTTAGTCTGCAAATTCCACGGTCTGTTATTTATTTATGTAATTAGTTATGACTGTGTTCTTCATGCTTTTAATGTGTTATTTTAGTACTGAATGACACAGCGACCCCTAGGAGTTGGTTCTCGACATTGCATGTAATGGCATCTTTCCCAACATTTCTTTTTCTCAAAAACTTTGAGAACTCTTGATTACAGTTCACAAATAACATAAACATTTAGGCGTTTGTCTAAAAGTGCCTGAATAATAAAATATCAGTGTTGAAAAATCTTCTGATTTACATTCATAGACAATTACCTGTGTTTGTCTTTTGTAAATAACGTTTTTAAAAAACATGTCCGGGATAGACACCCCTTACCGGAAGTTGGTGTATTTGACCTCCATAATAAAGGTGACACATTGTCTAGCAAAAAGGGCTACTAATTTTGATAAATGTGGGGACAAAAATCTTATATTAAAGGATATAAAATTTTTAAACATTTAAAAATAAAATTAACACTTTTGTGGGATGTGCACCCCATACTGCTTTACTCTGTTCATTTTATTGTCATACAAACAGTAAATGCATTCATTTCTAAAGGTTTTTAGGTGTGTGCGACACAGGTTTCACAATTTTAGTTAAAGACTAAACAGAGAAAAATTACTGTGCTCCATAATAAAAGACAACTGAAGAAGAATTGTGTGTTTACTTTCATTTGCAGTTAGTTAACGTAGTCTTGATTCAGTACAAACTGATTGGAGGAAAAAAAATCGATGAGCATTTTTTTCACTTTTCAGTTTAGTGCCGATGGCTATTTTATTTTGAAATCCTTACCGGAAACCCTTGCCCTGATACGGCTAACCAAACTAGCTTAACCTCACCGCTTTTAGCTATCCATGACAGCGGCTCAGGGGTGTCGTTGTTGTTGTTTTTATTATCTAAATCGGTAACTTAGTCACGTTTTAGCCGCCGAAGAGACTCCTTTGCTTTAAATTTCCTCCAGGATGATTCCTACGGAGGATGCGTCCGCCAGGAAGCGGGAGATCGAGGAGAAACTGAAGCAGGTCAGACAGCTGGTGGCTTGAGAGGAAGGAAGCTTCCCTTCGAGCTACAACCCACCAGTGTAGCTCAACACCCGCGTTTAAAATGATGCTTATTGACCGAAAGAGTGTCTTTAATGTCTTCAGAGTGAAATGAGTGAGTGGTTGGTTTTCTTTCTGCTGTTACAGGAGCAGGAGACGCTGTCGTTCATCCGGGAGAACCTGGAAAAGAGCGATCAGCTGACCAAAAACATGGTAGGACGGTCCAAACACACCCAGGGACAGCTCAGGCTGACACTCATAATTCTCATAATTAAAGGCGGTGGGCTGATCTCCATTCGATAGTACTTTAACCCATAATTAAAAATAAAGCCTCTTATTCTTGTATTTGGATTGAAATATTTACTTATAGTTTCTATCATTTCTATTATGAACATGAAGAGTGAGTGAGATGATGAAAGCAGCCTGTGATGTCATTTTTCAGCTTTCACCCCACTTCAGCTGAATCTCTTATGTGACTCATTATTTAAGGTGCTATATTTAAGCTGCTTTTATAGCCCAACTGGTTTTTGACCTCTATTTTTTTCCCAAAAGGTCTCCATCCTGTCTTCGTTCGAGAGCCGCCTGATGCAGCTGGAGAACTCCATCATCCCGGTTCACAAGCAGACGGAAAACCTGCAACGGCTGCAGGAGAACGTGGACAAAACTCTGTCTTGCATGGATCACGTCATCAGCTACTACCATGTGGCCAAAGACACGGACAGGATCATCAGAGAGGGGTGGGGATGACCTTCGTATGCAAATGTTTTGTGGTTACACAAACTGTATGTATACTAATTTTCATTTTCTGTCTCAGACCTACGGGCAGACTGGACGAGTATCTTGCTTGCATTGCAAGAATTCAGAAAGCTGTCGAATACTTTCAAGACAACAACCCAGACAGCCCTGAGCTCAACACAGTGGTAAAGTATCTGCCTCTCTGAAATTACAGTTGTGGTAAAAACGTTTACAATCCACTCATCATGGATGTCATGGACAGTGATGTGGTGTCCAGCTGACCCCGGTTCATGCCAGGCTTGAACGTTGGTGGTTTCTGTGAAACACATCTTTTTATATACTGGCAAAGAGAAACTACCAGTCGTAGTTAATCACGAGAAACTAATAGGCTTTGGCCTTGTCAATTTAAAAGACATTATTGGACCTTCATCACTGCTTAGTAAAAGCTTAAAGTGACTGTATTTATATATTTAAGGCTATATGGACTTCTTGGAAAGAGATGGACCAACCTGGAAATAATTAAAAGCCCCAAATAACTGTCACATTTGTGCCTGTGATGTGATTGACTTTCTGTTTTTGGAGATCTAACGAGGTCGATCTGCTGTCATAACATTTCAGTCCCGACAGATTCTGTGCCCTTGTGTTTTTTCTAGCAAAATACATAAAATGATCCGATCGCAGCTTTTTCTGAGAGTTCAGATTTCTGCACAGTATTCTCGACCATTTCCTGTTTGCATCCAAATGTGTCGTGGTTCTCACAGTACTACAGTGAAAATATTCCTTTTAGCCACTTGTGTCTGAAAGAGGAAAAGCTATCTGAGCCATTAGTTCCACGTATTTAGTGACTGAACAACATTATACACCGCGTAGCTCTCTGAATGAATCATGCTGTTATTCCTACATTCATTTATGTGTAAATTTCACGCACTTCTTCCTCACTTCAGACGTCTGCTTCAGTCTCCGTGCCGTTCCGAGTTGGAGTCACTAATTCCATGACCGTATCTTCTTCTGCAGAAAGCACGCTTTGAAAAGGGGAAGGAGCTGCTGGAGGGCGAATTCCGCAGCCTCCTGACCCGCTACAGCAAACCTGTTCCCCCCATCCTCATCCTGGACGCCATCAGCGTGGATGAGGAGCTGGAGGTCCAGGAGGATGTGATGCTGGAACACCTGCCCGAGGCCGTGCTCCAGGACATCATCTGCATCGCCGGCTGGCTGGTGGAATACGGACGTAATCAGGGTACAGCTGTGTTTGTTTGTTGGAGGTCTCTTCCTGTTTAAAGGAAGTTCTTTACCACAATTGCAAAAATCATCTGATTGTTGGGCTTTTCTGTCTAATATTGGAGGTCCTCTACCTTACAATCTATAAATCATCTTACCACCAGAGCTGGGGTGATGTAAATCATTAAATTGGCTTTGAAATGTGCAGGCGGTGTAGAGAAACTGGAAAGATTGTGTCTAATTTTGCTCTCCTCTTCCTGCAGACTTCATGAACGTCTACTTCCAGATCCGCTCCAACCAGCTCGATCGCTCCATCAAAGGCCTCAAAGAGCATTTCCGCAAGAACAGCGCCTCCTCCGGTGTCCTCTACTCGCCTGCCGTGCAAACCAAGCGCAAGGACACGCCAACTAAAAAGGCCCCGAAGAGACCAGGTCAGCAACAGATGCGCCTCATTCAGACCGAATCCACAATCACGCCACTCCAGTCTGTAATCCCAACTCGCTGTCCAATCCATCTTCCATAGATCAACCTAACAAACACGCATGATCCTGCATAGTGACGAATATTATGCACTCTTCACTACATTCACAGTCTGTTTCTGTCTCAGGTTGTCCTCCACAGTCTCTCTGTAATCACTCAGTTCACCGAGCTGTAGCGCACTTCTACCACACACTGTGTTTCTCTGTGATATTACACCCTGGTCTAACTAATCCTTCATCCTCTCCTCTTTCATAATCCCTGTGTTGTGATGACAGTCTACATCCCAGGTAAACACAAAGCTCTAGCGTGTGCCTCGTGCTTGCTTGTGTACGTCAGATGCCACATTTCACGGCAAATCAGAGACAGCGTGATGGTTTGTGTCGTTTTGTTAGCAGCTGAGACAGCAGAGGTTTATTTGTCCTGTTGAATGGTGTAGTAGGTGATCCAGTGGAGATTTTAACCTCTAGTTTCACGGCAGAGCGTTTCGGTGATGAGATGAGTATGGTGGAGGTTGCCACCAAACCGCCGATAAACAAAACTTGATGAAATTTCTTTACAATTTTACTAGAAATTAATAATTTTTAATTGCATAGAATAAAAATTATTATTTATGATTGAGCCTGGCTCTATAAAATTATGTGTAAGGATTAGCTGTAGTCTATTTTCCTGAAATTTAGTTGATTAAAACAAACAAATGTATTGTTGTGTGATGGAGAAACAAAGTCTTCATTATCAGAGTCTAAGAGTTAACACATACACCTGTACATGCATGCATATGCAGAAACTGCTGTACTAATAACAGGCACTCACTCACTTTAACCCTCAGGCGACCAAGCAGAATTAAAGCATAAATTAGGGAGGAAGAGGAAGAGCTGGCAGAGTGCTACAAAGTGACCTTCAGCGGCCTCCTCGTGTACATGTTTCTGCACAAACTTTCAGAACAGACTGTGTGAGATCCTGACGTCCTTTAACGGGGCTTGTGATCACAGCCAGAGAGCAGCAGAACTGACAGGTCTGTTACTGGTGCCCTGTTCTCCTCTCACATGAAAGCAGGTTCATGCTGAGCACAGGTGGCAGACGCTGTGATGTTTCCAGGCTCGGTCACGTCAGATACCAGTCCTGTCGCAGGACTGATGCCCTCCTACGGGCCTGTCCAGCTCTCAGCCTGTCTCCTGGTAACTCCTGAGACCTCCTGGAGGAGCTGGATGAACCTGAATGGGCTGTAGGTACCGTCTCATGTCACCAACAGTGACAAGAGACTAGAGTCAGGAGGGGGGAGGAGAGAGCAGCAGTCTGCAGTCACCACTTGCTCAGCCCTTTTAGGCGGTTGTGTCATTGAGGCCTCTCCAGGGAACCTGGTGTCACTTTGATTTGGACTTTCAGAGCAGCAGAAATGGATTCACAGCGTTTATGATAATAACTAACTGGACATTCCTAAAGTTTACCTGTCTTTGTGTTTCTAGTGTGATGATGGAGTTTTAATCTGTTCTACTTACGCTCACTGCTGCCATGAAACTAAAGGCTGCAGTGCGTGCGTGTGTGTGTGACAGGTTTATAATATAGCTGTGCGTAGTGTTGATTCAAGGAGTTTGTCACTAACTGATCGCCTGCTTTACCTGCACACACCTGGTTAAAGAGCTGAGGTCAAAGGTGAAACAGGTGAACCCTCTGACTGATCTGACGCATGTGCAAAAATACGCACACTTCCTGTCACTGTTCTGGTTTAACAGTTTTCTCTAGCGTCTGTATGAGGGCTGCGTGATTAAGGTGTTTGTTTTAGACAATAACTTTAATCTTGATGACTTAACAAGATACAAATATTACTGAAACTGAACTTTTTAAGAAACCAAAGAACAAAAGTGTCAGTTTTAGTCATCTTGGGTGCATTTGAGAGGATGTGTTTGATTTGTAACAAAAAAGAACAATGAAAGTGAGGATTAAATGATGATTATAAGATTATTGAAACTCTCGTAATTTAATGAAGACTTAAGGTTTTGACTGTTACGCTATGTAACTAATGCAATGTCTTTGACAGCTTTTGGATTCAGCTTCAAAGACGATGCTCATGTGCGTACTTGACAAGAAAAATTGATTATTTTATTTCGTTTCTTTAATATTTTCAATAACTGGAGAAACAGTGAAAAAATATACATAACTAAGTAATAATTTAATAAGAAAGCAGGAAAATAAACTGTTCTGTTGCACAAGTAGTCAAACCAAAAGCAGGATTTTCTTTAAATCCCAGATTCGACTTTTTGCTTCTGTTTTTATTCAGTTGCTCTTTAACAGGAGATGTCTCTCCTGCTCTAAGAGTCCAGAAGTTTCGTTTTCAGGGCTTTAACTGTGAAAGGTAAAGAAAGGAAGAAGCGGTTTTTTTGCACATGCAGAACAAATCAGTTTTTGGTACGACTTCCACTACAAACAGCCTTATTGGACTCTAACATGACGACAGTGTTGCTCTGCGATTGCTGCACATCTAAAGTGTTTGCTAACACGCTAACCTTTGCAACTGTGTGAGTTTGACAAATACGTGACTAATAACCTTTCATGCAGAGAAAAAATTATGTAAAAAAAAAAAAAGCTGAATGCACCTTTAATTGTGCTGCTTGCTTACTAACTCACTAACAGGCCAACAGTTTGTGTTTTAATGCTGTAAATATGAATAATCTGCAGATTTTTGCATCTCTAAACCATGTGACAGACTGTTTATTATTCGTAATAGTAATAATAATCATAATGATAGATATGACTGTTAATTGTATTAATTGTGATGGCTGTTTATAACTGATCTAACCTGTTTATTCTCTGACATCACCCCGGCAGTGTGTGTTTCAGCACACGTGTCCTGTAGTGCTGTAGTTTGTCTCTCGTGGTGTTAGGCTGTGCCTCCCCCTCCTTCCCCACGTACAAACCTCTGCTGGCTGCCTCGGTGGTGGAGGGATGTGGTGTCTGTGTTTCATCACTCACTTTCTAGCTCTCCCTTCTCTTCCTTCTCCTTCTTCTTCTTCCTGTTTCTGTTTCTGGGCTGTCTGGACCTCGCTACCCTCCTCTGGACTCTGTCTCTGTGTTTCTGGGACCAGGGACCATTCGCAAGGCTCAGAACCTTCTGAAACAGTACTCACAGCATGGGCTGGATGGGAAAAAGGGGGGTTCTAACCTCACTCCTTTGGAAGGTAAAGCACCTCGGTCTTCTCTATGCTGACAGTGTACTGTTGTTTCAGGCACACAGAACGTCCCCTCAGTCACAACAGCTAGTCGCTGCGCATGTTTGATGAGTCATAAATCATCTCTAATCGGTCTGGAATAAAGACAGCTGATACTCCAGCTCATTAATTTCGACATGCAACATTAAGAACAAGCGCATCCATCCTGATAAACTTCTTCACTGTTAAAGGTGAAACTTGGCTTCAAGGTTTCAAACTGTTGTTTGGAAGCTGAATGCAAAGAATCACCGCTATGATTTTAATCCTGAAACACGGATGTATTATGGCAGAAATGTCAACTGATGTTTAACTACAGACAGACTGTGTGCCCATGTAATACCACTCTGTACCACAAGGTGGTGCAAAGATTACCTTAAAGTATTTCCAAACTAGCTGGTTTTTTTTTTTTAATGTCTGTGTGTTTTTTAAACTGCAAATGATTTCCGCGTTTGCACATTAAAAATATTTGATGACGAAATTTTTGTTTATTTCTGCACAAACAGTTTTATAATTAGAAAATACATTAATAATATCCAGATAAAATCTGCTAGGCTGATAATAATTTGCCATAGATCGTATAAGAAGATTATACATTAATCTTATTAAGTAATTAAAGCGTGGGAGCGTCTCACCCGTGTAGAAGTGTGTCAGGATGGTTTTACTTTGAAAAACTGCGATCAGTCGAAAGCTGTTGTGATTTCTGTGCAAGCTGATTTCTGTCTCGTAGTTTTAACACACTGACTGATTCAGACATCAGTCGATGCAGAAAACAAACCCCTCTGGGTCTTTTGCCCCCTCCCCCCAAACTTGTGGGCGTCCCCTGCTTCTTTCCCCCGCCCCCTCCCCGGCTGGTGCTTGCTGGTGGTCGGTACAGCTGCTCCAGGTACAGGTTTGTGTCCCCCCACACTCTCACCCTCTGGCCTAGTCACGACCCCCGGTGGTTTGACTTGGCCTGTCTCCTTGCTGTCCCGCCCCACCCACCAGGTTACGATCACGACCTGCGGGTCAAACACCTCTCTGACGCCTTGACCGAGAAGCACGGGGCCGCCACAGGTGAGTGAGGGCACCATGTGGGAAAAAGAAGGAACACAGATGATCTAAAGAGGCGGGCTTTCCTGTAGATAAAAGCACGCCCACTGCAGCTTTAGCACTTTGTATTTTCTTTAAATCCAGTTGCAGTCAGAACACATAGGTTTACTTTCAGCTTCAGACTCCACGTCTGATGTTGGATGGTTTGATTTGCTGGCTGACTGAGCTTTTCCACCCAGGAAAGGATGATGTCCTGGATATCGAGATCGACTCTTACATCCACTGCATCAGTGCCTTCGTCAAGCTGGCTCAGAGCGAGTATCTGCTTCTGGCGGAGATCATCCCCGAGCACCACCAGAAGAAGACCTTCGACTCCCTCATTCAGGTCCAGGAGTTTTGTTTGTGACATTTTTTAGAGCATTTGAAGGTTTGATTAGGATTTAATGTTGGGTCTGAGCCTGACATGAGCTTACACAGGTTCAAAGACTTTTAATAAATTGGTTTAATAACAGCTTCAGGATCCTGGAAATCTCTTTTCTGTGTTGTATATTGAATATTTGGTTTTTTGGTCAGATATATACTTATAATATATGATAACAGTTCATGCTCCTCCACAGGAGGCGCTGGACAACCTGATGCTGGAGGGAGAAAACATTGTGGCTGCAGCTCGCCGGGCCATAATGCGACACGACTACTCAGCTGTCCTCACCATCTTCCCCATCCTCAGACACCTGAAGATGAACAAGTCTGAGTTTGATACCACGCTGCAGGTCCGAGCTGCACCCCAAAAAACTCCCAAAACGTCTGCGTATGACAGAAATGAATTACTGTAATGATGCGTTGTGCTGTCTGCAGGGCACGGCGGCGAGCACCAAGAACAAGCTGCCCACCCTCATCACCTCCATGGAGACGATCGGAGCCAAAGCTCTGGAGGAGTTTGCAGACAGCATCAAGGCACGGAGCTCTCATTTCTGTGTGTCACCACTCACTGCTCAGTAACTCATAATTCATAACTTCTTTCTCCTGTGACTGCAGAATGATCCTGATAAGGAGTACAACATGCCCAAGGACGGGACGGTCCATGAACTGACCAGCAATGTAAGCTGATGCTCCGTTACCTCCCGGGTTAAATAACACCACTCATTTATTCGCTCTTTCTACACTTCAGAGTCAACACCTTCCTGCGAGGACTCTGCTGTTCGTCCGTCTCCGTGGGGACGGCTGATAGCTAAGAGCGGAGCGTCTCCATCTAATGATTAATCCGAGCCGAGCTCACCTCCTCTGTCCTCTCCTCTGCAGGCCATCCTGTTCCTGCAGCAGCTGCTGGACTTCCACGAGACAGCTGGAGCCATGCTGGCCTCACAAGGTGCAGCCACTACATCGCAGGCGTTAGCCTCTCGTTAGCATAGCTGTCCTGCTGCCTCGCCAGGCTGTGATGGTGTTACACGCTTTTTTTTCTTTTATCTCTCATATAAAACCACAAATGTGATTACTTTAACTCTTTCACCCATAAAAACGAGATTTGATGACCTCCCCGGTGCCCTTAATGATGAGTATCTTCAGTATTAATCTATTAAGATGTAGTTTGACAACCATTAAAATAGTTTCTGCGTATTCAGGGACCACCATCAATAACCTTGGATGCAACCCAGTGATTTGGTTCGTTAAGCGTCTGAAATGTGACAGAAATCCTCAGTTCGGAAAAGCTCTCCAAGGGGATAAGAGTTTGAGGAGTTATGGCTGGCATGCTGATACCGAAGCACATCATTTCACACTCTGACGTTTGGTTTCAGAAAACTAAACTTGTAATGGTGAATATACTCAGCTCAATGCTTCAGAAGCAGGGCTTTTCACACCAGTGGCTGACATTACAGTGGCTGCAGCCGTCTTTTATTTACAGCTTTTTTCAACAGTCTGGTTGTCCAGATTCTCCAGACTGCAAAGTGTTGCTTTTGAATCCACATCCGCAGGTTCATTTTAAACTGACTCTCATTTATGAGGCGACCAGACTTCAGATATATAAAAGCAACTCAATTTCCACACTGTCGGGCTCCCAGGTTGTCCCTTCACTGCTCCTTTATCTGAGGCTGTTTTCACCTTCAGCCCTCTACCTTTTTCCTTCCCCTTCTAATTGCATCTCTCTCCTTTCACATGGAGCCTCTACACATCCAGCATGTGTTCATGTTTTATAGGCGAGTGTTTGTGGCTCCCTCCTGTGCTTTGATTATCGCAGCTTCGCTTCGCCTCCTTTTCCGCATCCGGCTCTTTTCGAGCCCTCGACCCCTCGCTGCCTGGCTGATGACTGTTTGCTTACTCTGCACTAACTATTCTCTTCTAACCTTTTTGCACTTGTGCCTCTTTCTCTTTCTCTTGTCCTCTGCCTTGCCTCGGCCCTTTTAGTACTGGGGGACACTTACAATATACCTTTAGACCCCCGAGGTAAGCATCAAAGAGAGACTGTGTAGGCCCCTCATGAGGTCAGCTTTGAATGTTTTCAGTTTGTTTTGGGGGGGTTTAAGATAAGAAATTAGCGGTCACATGCATGCACTCTTTCAAAAGTGCATCTGTAGCTTCTGCTGCTAAAATCTTCTGTATTTCTTACAGAGACGAGTTCGGCCACCAGCTACACCTCCGACTTCAACAAAAGGCTCCTCAGTAGTTACATATGTAAGCAGAGATGCTGTGCACTGCCTCTGTGTTAGAAGTCCTCGTTTTAGTCTGTAAGTCATCATTTTGTGTTCTTTTGTTCTTGCAGGTAAGGTTTTGGGGAACTTGCAGCTAAACCTGCTCAGTAAATCCAAAGTGTACGAGGATTCGGCTCTGAGTGCCATCTTCCTGCACAACAACTACAACTACATCCTCAAGTCGCTGGAAAAGTAAGCATCGTTTCCTGTGTCAAAATAACCGCCCAGTCTGTGCAGAGAGCAAACACCAGCTTCAGTCTCAAAGTGGCCTGACTTTGGTTGCAGGATCACTAAAGCTAGTAATAACGTCTGAGTCTGGTTTTACGTGCATCATATAACGCTCATGACCAGGAGAGCATGCGTGCGTTGGTCAGCTGCCCGGACTTGGGGTGGCCGTGGGTCATCAACCAGTCAGAAGCTGGGTGGACCGATCCCTGCCTTCTCTTGTACAGAAGCTGATGCATCCTGAATCCAAAGTACTTTAACAGTACCTGTCCGTTTACCATTTACACCTGCAGGCTGTGCCAAAATCCGTCTGTCAGTCATCTTAGTAGCTCCTGCTGAGAAACCTACACGTCAGCCACGTCATCACCTCCTGAAAATATTCAACAGAAACTAAAGTCTTGAGCAACCCTCATTTAAATAAATAAATCAAATTATATAAAACGTGTTGTTCCCAAAGAGAAGGACTTCAGAAAGGCTTTCAGTTTTTCTGCTTTTTCACTCGCTTTGTCTGACCTGTGAATCGTTCAAGCATAAAAACAACTGCAGACTATGGAGGAAACAAGCTACTAGTAAATTAGTTAAGATTAATAATTTTCTCCAGTTAGAAAAGATCAGGGTTTGAGGTCAAATTCAATTGTTCCTACTTTTCTTAAAGCTCAGTTTTTTGGTTGCCAAGGCGCCGACTGTCACGAAACGGTTTGTGGTCATAATGGTAAATGGCAAATGGCCTGTATTTATATAGCGCTTTACTAGTCCCTAAGGACCCCAAAGCGCTTTACACATCCAGTCATCCACCCATTCACACACACATTTACACACTGGTGATGGTAGCCACAGCCACCCTGGGGCGCACTGACAGAGGCGAGGCTACCGGACACTGGCGCCACCGGGCCCTCTGACCACCACCAGTAGGCAACGGGTGAAGTATCTTGCCCAAGGACACAACGACCGAGACTGTCCAAGCCGGGGCTCGAACCGGCAACCTTCCGGTTACAAGGCGAACTCCCAACTCTTGAGCCACGATCGCCCCGAAGGGACGACAACGAAGGGAGTGGAACATACACGTGAACACGGGGCGGTCTAAGATGAGCTGCTCAGTGAGATCAGCTGTGAGGGGGGCTTAATTATATTTGATGAGGTCTGATTTCGGAAGTTAGTCCGAGGTCAGACTGTTGACCTGTGCGTGGGTGTGCAGTGGAGTAACACACACACTTTCTTCTTTGCTTTTATTTTTTTGGGGTGTAATGTCCTAATAAATGAAGTGATCACTGACAGCAAGTTAGTTTGGGATAAATGCTTTCCTGCGTCCTCAGGTCTGAGCTGATCCAGCTGGTGACGGTGACTCAGAAGCGAGCGGAGACGTCCTACAAAGAGCTCATGACTCAGCAGATCGAAACATACCAGCGCAGGTGAGCAAATAAAAGCTTCGCGCGTCAAACTCGAACACGATTTGTGTCTTTGTCTTCACGCCCGTGCTTTTTGTTTCCGCCTCAGCTGGCTGAAAGTCACCGAGCACCTGACAGAAAGGAACATGCCCGTCATACAGCCCGGCACCAAGGTCAGCATTTCTCCTGTGGGAGGTGTAACACTTAGCAGAGATGTTAGTAACGAACGCAGCGCTCAGTGCGTTTGATCAAATATATCCAGTATCTAATGGTTGTTATGGAGACCCGTTCTGCTCATCCTTATTTTTATTCTTGGACTTTATGAGAGTAGCTTTGCATGATTCACCGGTCAATAATAGGCTTATTTATCTTATAGTTATACTAAGCCTTGGTGCTGCCTCTCGTCTGTTTTGTGCAACTGGAGCTTCTGGCTTATACACGTGTGTGTTTTGTCTTCCTCCAGCTGAAAGATAAAGAGCGACAAGTGGTTAAAGACAAATTCAAGGTGAGGCTGTAATCAAATGAAGTAAAACGCAGCTGTTACTGAGTAAGAAACTGACGTCAGTCTCTCTTTGTCAGGGCTTCAATGATGGTTTGGAGGAGCTGTGTAAGATCCAGAAGGGTTGGGCCATCCCGGACAAAGAGCAGAGAGACCTCATCCGGCACAATCAGAAGAAGGTGGTGTCTGATGCCTACAGAGCCTTCCTGCAGAGGTCAGAGACGCTCTCACACAAACAAGTCTGGAGTCGAGGATTTGACCTAAAACATCGTTTCGTCAAATATTCTGGAGGCAGATGTTGATAAGAACATTATTCAGATTTCTGTGTGGGACAGGTTTTTAGCTAATGGGTGGTCAACAAGAATATGGAGGCTCTTTTTGTTTTTTTTCAATACTAATCTCACCTTTAAGCTGTGATTCCTTCTGTGAAATGGAGAAAATAATCACAGAGCATCTCGGGATCAGTGAATGCTCTCTTAGCCCGTTGCTCTTTTTTGCATAGCTTAAGATGGCGTGCCCCTTTTTAGTCACATTACTAAACTTTAGAAATTTAGTGCCCTCATCTGCTGCTCATGCTCAGATGTTCTGTTGATCCCGACACCCTCCGTGATTTTCCTCAAGCATGCTGAAAAATCTCTTTTTGCAAACCTCCTGCATGATCGGGGGGTGAAGCTGCCAAAACTGGTGCATCAAAGGATCCTGAAAGTTCCCTGAAGGTTCGAGATGCCACCTCACATGTTACCAGCATGCACGTGACACCTCATAAAACCATCTTCTCTTTTAATTTATAACCACAAAAATTTCATTGCGAAACATAATGATGTTATGACATCATTATGTTGCCTGGCAACCACCTAACAACAAACAGCTAAACAACACTGTAGCACGAGAATCTGATTAAGACCCGATTACTGTCAGAAACAATCAGCTGATTCTGAGAGGTCTGCTGTTAGGCACCGATTTATTTTAACGGAGTGACTTAAATGTAGCGCTTGTCTTGAATTAGGAAAATGTGACCTAATAATTAATCCATAAGGCTGAAATGATCTGCTCGGATTTCTTTCACACTCATATTTCATTGTTCACGTTTCTTCCAGATGTGCCAACATTTCCTTCACCAAGAACCCCGAGAAGTATCACAAGTATCGACCGGAGGAGGTGGAGGAGATGATCGAAAAGCTGTTTGACACATCCGCCTGAGGAGTCTCCTCTTCCCCACCCCAAAGAAACACGGGCTGCTACGCCTGAACCCCCCCGCCCGCGCTGCTCTCAGCCTTGTAGTGTCTAAACAATGTTTTGTACAAAGACGTGAACTTACGTATTTATGTAATTTAGCCACTCCAGCTCAACATTTCAGACAAATAAAAAGGGAACTCTGACCGAACCTGCGTGCTGGTTTGTTGTGATACAGACATTCACACTTATAGAAACCTCACCCACCTTCTGTTTGTGACAGACAGCCAATCAGAAGAAAGCTGGGTTAATGGCTGAGGAGGTGAAACAGCTGATTTCAGACACAGAATGAACTAAAGACTAAAGAGCTTCTTGGAACATGTTAGCATCTTTTAGTTCCTTGTTTTCGGTTCTTCCTCCAGCGGGCAGCTAACAGCTGTGCTCTCACGTGCTGAGCGTAGACGAACATTTATCAGCCTGACGGCACCTTCAGAACGAGCATCAGCCAACGTTATAACAGCTCAGATTCTTTTCTTATCCTGGAGTCTTTAAAACTAACAATCAAGCTGTGTGTGTGTCTGTGTGTGTGTTACCATCATTCCTCTTCAGGGTAAAGAGGACAGGTCTCATCGCCACAGCAACCAGACCTCAGCATCTTCAGGTCTGGTTTCCTTGGTGATAAAAAGTTTATCCTTGACCTTGACTTGTGCTGTTTTCCTGTCCCATGTCACAAATCGAATCAAGTCTATTTTTATAGCACATTTTAAAATGAGCGCAGCTGATGTCATTTTGACTCGAGTCCAGCTTCAGATCAGCAAACGCATCTGCCCACACACTCTTAAATTCTTTACTTTCTCAGTCGAGGACGACCACGAGGTGGTTTTTATATTTTAAGTGAAGACGAGAGGAAGCTTCTTCCTTTCTCAAAATGATTTCACGGAGCTTTATTGAACGACAGTAGCAGAATGGACAGAAATAAATGCTTTAAACCAACAAAGTTATTTACAGGTGTCTCTTTTCACAGACACCAAAAACAACATGTTCAGATGCAGCTCAGTGGTGTTATTTTAACAGCTCTGACCATGATCTCTACGTCACAGCAACACTTCTGCATATAAAACACCAGGAACGCCTCACTTCACAGTAACAGATCAGCTCTCTGTTGGTACACTGCCAGCTAAATACAATCAACAAACAGCAGCTGACCAGTAAAAGTATACGTACTGACAGCCTACATACATATATTAAAACAAGAAGCTCTTACACCAGACCTTTAACCATCTGACAGAAATATTTTTTGCCATTTTAATGAGCGATCTGTTCATAATGATCTGATGAGCAGCCTGAGATTAAAGAAAAGTGTGATTTCAACAAGATGTCTGACTCAGTGAGTCAGCTGTGACATGAAAATGACGATTTATTGTATTTCACATCTTCATGATTCACAGCTTGCCTGTATCTAAAAATGTTATTTATTGTTTATTACCACAAAAAAGCATTTAATAAGCAGCGTTTTATCTTTGTCTTGGTTTTTATGCATCCCTCTGTTTTTTTGTTGTAATTGGCTGACACACTTTTAAAAAGTGCTTTTTAAAGTCAAGTCACTAAATAAGAAATGCTAACATGGCCTCACGCTTTAAAATGTTCTTTGTGTGTCTTCAGCACAGCTCTGGGCCTTGTTGCGTGACCTCCTGCGCAGCGTCCTCATGCTGAGTACATGTGCACACAAAACACCCGAGTTACATATTAATAAAAGCATCAGGTCATTTAGACACAGCTGAAATGAAGCCTTCTGTTACGGTCCTGAGAGAGAAACACTCCACGCGTGAGGAGTAGATTCATGATATTTTGCCCTTTATGACATACAGTAAGAATCAACATATGTATGTAGCTGAATAGCAGTTACAGAAACACGCAGAGCAGGACCGGGTGCATTAAACACACTTTTTGTTATTTTAATGCAGCGACTGAAACTCTGTTACAACTAAAACCAAAACAAATGCACTGAAAACTGTTTGAAACTCTGCTGATTTGTGATGATTTTAACGCTCACAGATCTCCCGCCTGCACCAACATGCATTACGAGGCACAGCTGGCATGTAATAATGTAGCAGCTACACTGAAGCACAACATAAAACAGAAGTTAACGGAGCTAATAAAATATTTAGTGTCGTAGTCAGACTCAAGTTTAAATATGTAAATGTCAGTGTCTCGATCAACTTTCGGGCGGATGGCGTGGAGGCTGAGCCTTTTCCAACTGTTTTTACACCTTTATTTTTCAACTACTAATAAATGTTTGAATATGAAAACCAAAATGTTGAATTCAGGTACGCATCCCAAATGTGCGTAACGGCCCCATTTCAACTGTAAATGTTCCATTTTGGTTTTTGTGCCGTGCTTTGTTCTGCAGGAGCTAATGGGGGATAATTAGCTCCCTGAGCCCAGCGAAGCAAAGCTCCCTCCTTTCTCCAAGGCTCTCTGTCCCGACTCTGACTCGGACTGTCTAATCTACAGCACAATTCCTGGGATTTTCCTTACTTTCTACATACTTTGTGTGTGCTTTACACTCCTCATGAACACATTCTTTTGATTTAGTCGTGTTTGGGTAATAAATGATCATTTTCTAAGTCCCTGCCTTGTCTGGTCTTTCCTTTTTGAGCCGGGCTGTGTCAGTAGACAACCTTCCATACACAGATTTCTCCACTACTGCATATAAACAGCATGAAATAAAAGCTAAAGACAGTAACTGTTTTGTTCTCAAGCTCACACGCCCAGAGCGACAGAAACTACAGGTCACATCTAAGGTTTCACCTGCCGGCCGGCTGGGATAGGGGGAAGGTCCCATTCATCCAATGGGGACCATGAATATTCTCTATGTACAACAACTCATTCAAGTACACTGATGATTTCTGGGACAATGCATGGACAGAAAAAGTCCCAGTGGGGAACACCAGTGTCAGTCAGGTTTGGCATCACATCGAACAGACTACATCAATTCACTCATAGGAATGCCCGTCATCAAATCCAGGATCCAATCAGGCGATCACACCAAGTGCTGGCCTTAGAAAGCATCACTGAGGGTGCCCAGACATCTATTGGATCAATTTAATCCAAAGCTAGTATCTGTTATATATTTTTAAATTAGCTGAGACATCTCAAGCTTAAGACAGTTTCGTGAAGATCGTCTTCTCTCGTGCTGATTTTGACTTTAATTAACTGATCCGACTTAGTACATTTTAATTTACATGTAAGTAAAGATTGCGAAACAGTCTTGTGTAACAGACTCCTCGACTGAATTTGTAGACAATGTTGTCATCTGCCAGCCTTTGATGGCTAAAAATGTCCTGGAGGTCGGGAGACCGTTGTGAAGACCTTGATCTTCTGTGATCAGCGTTGTTAGTTTAGAACTGAGCATGTGGTAGATGGCTGGCTCTTCCTCTGAGGCTGTTACCTTTAATTGGACACATCGATGCTGCTGACCATGTTCACTGCCTGAACATGCACCTTATTGACCTCCCTCCTCTTCAGCGAGCAGCTGAACACCTTCCTGAAGCCTTTGCGGAAATGCTTTGACACGAGGGCGTAGACGATGGGGTTGAGACAGGAGTTGGCGTAGGCCACAAAGTGTGAGAGGATGCGGAGGACATAGGTGGTGTAGTTGAGCGGGAATCGGCCCAACCACATGCAGAGGATTACCAGGTGATGGGGAAGCCAGCAAAGACAGAAGAGAGCAGCGACTATGATGATCATCTTGGAGACTTTCCACTTGGCCCGCCTCGACTCGGACATGTCCTTCAAGGGGCCCACGCTGGTCCACAGGTATCGGATGGTGCGGGCGTAGGTGAGGCCGAGCACCAGCACGGGAACGAGGTAGCCGAAGACAAACGTGCACATATCCATTATGATGCGAGGTTTGGACTCCCATGTAGGAATGCACACAACAGTGCCAGCGAGGTCCATCTGTGAGAAGTAGCTGAGATACGGTCCAGAGAAAACCAAGGCCAGGGCCCAGAGGAGGCCGATGGAGGTGAGTGCGTTCTTTGGCGTCCTCATCTCTCGGGAGCGGAGCGGGTAGCAAATGGCTAAATACCTGTAGGAGCAGAGGAACACACGTGATCTACAAATACAGTATGAAATCTCAAAAAATAAAGATGGAGCAGAAACAGTAAAGCTAACCAACATAAATAAATATATGATCAGCTCTGACTGTATTATACAATGATAATCATAGAGCCATATCTGATAACGGCATTAAAAATCTACCATTAACATCATAAAAACAGCCAAAGCCTTTGTACAATTTTAACTGTTTTCTAAAAATATATTTTGCTTCCAAGGATCCAGACTTGTCTTTTTTAAAGTGCTCTTAAAGAACAGTTCTCGAGGCTGTTCAAAGGTCTTTAAAGTTTGAATTGAATTGTGTTTTTAGGGACTTTGATACTCGCAGAAACAAGCCATGTGAGTCTAAACTACGCCAGATGTTAACCACATGTTGCCTCAAACGTTAACCAGGTTGGCCTACAGTTCAAACACTTAGCAAAGCTACATAATCATCACTCACTAAGAAACATCTTTATTAAAAGAGAAACTCTAAATACGACCACTGAGCACACTGATTTTTGGATCTTGCCAGATAGTTAAAGCTAGAAGATGTAATTTTTGTCATATCTGCCACATGTGGAACACTGTGCTGCCTGTAAAAATAATGACACAAAGACTTTTTAATCCATCAGTTACCTTCATACAAAGTGCAGAACACAGAAATGAACCAAATCTTGCTGCTTGTATGTTTGTGCTACCTGAAATTTATGAAGACAAATGTCATCATTATCAGCTCTCCCCTGGTTCCCTGCACACTCTAACTCAATTTCTTGGCTCAGAGTTTTTATTTCCCTTCATTTGTAATCCTCAGATGTTGTGCAGACTCAAATTAATATGATAAGACGAGTGTAAGTAAACTTTTCGTGCTTTGTAGGCGGATGTACAGAGCGCCGTGCAAAGGTTATGGATGTTTCTGAGACAAAAAATGTTTTTTTTCTTTTAATTTTAGTGCCTATAAACGTGCACAGTGCTGTTTGCAGGAATTGGATTTTTGAAATAAGAGATATTTCAAAGTGATGAAGAAAAAGTGCCGCTAATTTGAAGAAAAGAAGCATTAGAATAAAAGTAGAAAACGTAAAGCAACTCTACTGTGAGCTGAGTTGGTAGTTCAGAGTCTGAGATTACAGATTCGCGTGCTTCTGTAGCTGTGACTGTAACATATGTATCAGATCAGTGCTTCGTATGTTTGTGTCTGAGTCTGGCCCAGGGTCGGCCTCACCTCTGTCCACTTGTACCCTGAGATGTCTGCTCTCTGTAATCTCGACCATTCAGTTGGAGACTTTAAACAAACAAATGTTCCCATTAACATTCTCTTCTGTGCCATCCGTCTCGCTGTATCTCGGAGAAATCATTAAAAACAGGATGACTCCAATCACACTGCATCTGTCCCTGAGGCCCAGACCTGGGTGTGTTGGGATAAATACCAGGATGCAAGCTGAGCATGACTGCCTGCGGGTTTGACGGGGTTCGTCTTGTACACCTGTGGCCTCTGACTTGTCTTTTTCTGTTTTATGATTTTTAAGATAGTTTTTTTGACAGCACTGGTGTTTCCAGTCCAGTCTGAGGCTCCTGCAGTGATTAAAGAGTCCGGGTCGCTGCTCATGTTCGGATTTGTAATACAAATGTTAATAAAACTTGCTGTAAGGGGTGTGACATAAACACATCTTTGCCTTGTTATGATTTGTTATAAAATTTGTCTAGCAGAGTTCTTTTCCACTGTGTAGTTTATTAAATTCATAAAACTTAAGTACTCTACACTAGAAACATGGCAGGCTCCTTTTTGGGACACAGAGTTTTGTATTTTTCTTTTTTTATTTATTATTATTAGTTCATTTTGACTTTTTTTTCATTTAGTTTCCAGAGCAGATTTGTTTGTTTCAGTTTAATTTCTATTGGTTGAAAATGCGTAATTTTAGTTGAGTTCTTATGAGTTTCATGTTTGTTTTGGTCTTTTTTGATTATTATTGTAGGGATGGCACAGATCAGAGGAAACCAGTACAAGCCTTACAATAAAAACAGAACTTTGTAAAGATGTTGACTCACAGTCTTGCTGACATCCAGAGTCAAATCTTTTCAGTTGGTTTACATTTTTTAAGAGTCGAGTTTTTATTTTTATTTTTTACTTCAGTTTCAGTTAATTACAGTAACCTTGGGAACATCTAGGCTCTATTCTGACCAGATTTCTGAGAATTTCAGAAGAAATGAGAACCTCCTTGATTTTTTCCTGCATGAGAATTAAAAATATTGTGACCCACAGTTTTTGAAACAATTATTGAAAGTTTTCCTCAACACCGTCTTAATATCATTAAGTTTAAAACATGCGCAGACGTGCTATTTTTTGTTGACTTGAGGATTTAAGATGGTTTTTCATCTCCATCTCAATCTGATATCAGATCAGTTCCGTCTTTTAAAACTGATCTGATATCAGACAGAACTGTGTAACCATTACACTCCAGGGCTGAAACCTGTAATAACGCAAACACAACAAAGATGGAAGAACAAATCATGTCTGTGTGAGAATGTTTAGAGAATAACGATCTAAAAGTAGAACTGAATCCTCTGAGCTGCTCTCGATTAGATTCCATTAATTGCTGAAGTATCACCTGTTGCCTAATTTGTCTATTTCCATTTATATAAAAGACATTTTTCATCATAAATTGATAAAGAAAATGCACGAAATCCACTAGAAATCGGGACATTGTGACTTAATGCGTCACCCTCATGCTCAAAGGAAACCTAGCCCGACGGGTTGAAGCTGTCTGAGGTTTTATATAAAAAAGACATAAAGAATAATAGTTAAGTTCTTTAGGTGTTTTAGGTTTTGTTTCAGTAATCTGAAAGTAGACACGCTACAGAAGCGGCTAACAGGCCAGAGCAACTCTCATAAACTGCAGAGATCGCGCACCTGTCCAGGGACACGGCTGTCAGGGTGAAGATGCTCGCGTACATGGTGAGGAAGATGATGAAGTGCACCACTTTGCAGACTGCAGGTCCGAACACCCACTCATCCAGAGTGTAGATAGTGGCCTGGAAGGGCACGCAGAACACGATGAAGCACAGATCCGCGATGGCCAGGTTGAGGATGAACAGGTTGGTGGTTTTGGTGTTCATCTGCCCGCTGCGAAACAAGACCGCGAGCACCAGAGAGTTCCCCACCGTGCCGAGCAGGAAGATGACGGCGAATCCCACGCAAACGAGCGCAGACTCCGCTTTCCAAGTGGAGAAATTGGACACAGAGTCATTCATCTTTCACACTGTCACGCGTGCGTCCAGCAACGTTAAAGGCGAGACTCGTGGAGGATCGCGCGCCTGCTCTGCGCGCAAACATCTCCAGCAGGAAACAGACGCAACACAGAACCCCGCTCCAGGGTGAGGGGCTCTCAGCATCCCAAACATTTACCAAACCCCGAGTGACACATACGCCACTTTCACACCACCGAGGAAGAAAGGTGGGACCTGTCCAGGTGTGGCAGGGTCGACACAGAAACAGAAGCCACGAGAATTCAGTGAGTTTTACAAAGAAACGCATTCAGCCAGTGAGCAAAAGTCTGATTTGGTTTCCTGACACCTGAGTGAACAGCCGGAGATACTTTCACTGCTTCTGCTGGAATATTGTACATGATCGGTCACCTGTTGATCCTGTAAAACCTCCGCGTTGTTACCATTCGACCAGCACGCCCCCCTGTGGGAATTCTGAAACACTGCAGTGAAGTTTACGTATTTCTATCAGTCGTGTTTGTTCTGTTTGAAGTTTTGTTTGAATTTCCCTTCTCAGTATTCTGTTTGTGCTTGTCTGTCAAGGCAGTGAAGTTAATGGGGAATATATAAATATATAAGTTTTTTTTTCTAATTCCCCTCTCACCCCTGCAGACGGTCTGTCCTTCAAGATCAGGTCCTCTATCAGAGGCCTGGGAGCTTGAGGGTCCTGCGCAGTATCTTAGATGTTCCTAGGACTGCGCTCTTCTGGACAGAGATCTCAGACGTTGTTCATGGGATCTGATGGAGCCACTCACCCAGCCTGGGTGGCACTGCGAGTAGTGTTCTGATTACCACTGGGACCACTGTTACCTTCACCCTCCACATCCTCTCCAGCTGAGCCCCTCGTACTTCTCCAGCTTCTCCTGTTCCTTTTTCCTGATGTTGCTGTCATTCGGTATCACTACATCAATCACTACGGCCGTCTTCCTCTGCTTGTCTACCACCACTATGTCCGGTCGGTTAGCCATCACCACTTTGTCTGTCTGTATCTGGAAGTCCCACAGGATCTTAGCTCGGTCGTTATCCACCACCCTAGGAGGCATCTCCCATTTTGACCTCAGGACTTCCAGGCCATACTCAGCACAGATGTTTCTACTATGACAGCTTCTTGGTGTTCCATGTATGCCCTGCCTGCTGTGATGTCTCAGGGTTATCTGTACACAGCCTGGGGTCTTGCCTCTTAGAGCTTGTCCCTGTGCTGCCATGATTTTATATATGAAAAATAAAAGCGCTCCTTCCCTAAAGCTCATATTAGCAGCCACCTCCTCCCTGACTCATCTGTAAATCAAATAAGGATTTGATTGGTCTGCACGATTAAGTGTATCTAAGGTCTTGGGGCTGCTGTGTTCTGTCTGAACATTACTGGATTGCCCGAGTTGGCCGAAGAGAACTCAAGACTTTGCTCTGAAGCCTATAATGTTGTTTTTATATTCCCCTGTTTGCCTCGTGAATATTTGTATATTTTATTTTGCTGTGTGTACTCGTGTGTTACTGATCGCGTCTGTATGGTTACTTCTAAATATGTTGGCCTCACAGGGAGATTTTGTTTTTTTTCTAAATAGTCACATTTTCTTTGCTGCCAATACGAACCAAGGCAGTAAGAACAGTTTTAACAAGTAGCTCTATTTAGCTTTATTATCATCACTTTGACCTTTAGCTCAATCAATCTTTTCTTTATGTTGGCAGTACACAGCACACTTGTAACACTCAAAGTTTCTAAGTTATGAAACTTTTTGACCAATAAAATCATCAAGTTGACTTTGAAGACCTCTGTGGATGAACTCTACACAGTTTAATCAGAATCCATTCAAAACTTTTCGAGCCATCCTGTTTACAGACAGAATGAAACTCACTCACATGCAAACACCTCAAAAACATTAAAGCCCTGTCAGCGGTAATAATGGATTTCAATTCCAGTCAGTCAGTTAAAAAAATATGTATTTATTTATTTATTGTTTCTTCAAGAACAAACAAATAGAGCAATGAAATGTTCCCCATTCCCTCTGAGATTACAACTACACAAAAATATAAAGAAACACACAGGTGTGGTGCATTAAGGTGGATATTAATGTGACTAACACAGAGCAAATATATGCAAAGACAGAAAAAAAAGGTTCCTTCTCGTTAACCCAGCATCTGTTTATAAGTCCATAATGTCGCAATTAAAAGTGCTACTGGGACAAACGTTTGCCTTGTGATAACCTCAGACTTTTACCATATGGGATGAAAGGCTACAGGATGCCTTTAACATTTTCCAGAGAGTTAGCTCTGCTGCATTCAGTTTTAAAAAAATAGACTCCCAAAAACGATATTCCTCAGTGTCTGTGTGCTCGCTGTTTGAACATTTAAGTTGTCAGATTTATCCTCCTGTCTGCTCAGGGCCTCTAGAGTGGTATCATTAAAATGAACATCAGTCTTCAAGCTTTTCATGAAGATTTTAAACCACTGCAGACAGAAATATAAATCTCATCTGGCCTGTCTACAGATTTTTAAAGATCTTTAGAAGATAGATTTGAGGGCTGAGTAATGTTTTTAGGACTTTTCTATAAATTAAGACCCTTAATGTATAAATATAATAATCCGAGTATTTTTCCTGTGATGTTCATGACTGAAGGACAAACTCTTAGTGCTTTGGCTAAAATAGCAAACAGAGAAGTGGGAGGTCTTCAGGTAAAAGTGAGTTTAAGTGAGTGACCTCCTTTCATACTCATATTTTCCCACCAGCACACACACCTACAGAAAAGGACGTGGTAACTTCATCCAGCAGCTGCACACGTGCAAACAGCCTCACTTGACTATATTTAACAGAGCGCTTGCTTTTTTTATCCAGGAGTATCCAGGAGGAAGCGTCTGCCTCGGGCCTTTTGTTTCCTCCTCTGGGAGTCTGAGTTAGTCCACCATCGAACATCCTGGAAGTTTGAGGAAGTTCAACAAAGCCTGAGCGTGATCTCATCGTTATCTGTGCGAGCAAAGTCGTGCCAGTCTAAACAAGCCCCAGAGGGTTTCGCTTCAGATCGTCCGGTGGTTGATGATGTGATGTTTTGATTGTGGGCTTTTCTTGTTACTGTCATATATTAATTGGCAAGCAGCTGTGAATAAAGGGAAAAAGGATTAGGCCACCAGTTTTGTCTGTTTGACTACAAACGCTGTCAAGTTATTCCACAGAAAGTGACATACAAGGGTTTAATTAAACACTCATATATGTATTTGGGTTCAGGTTTTTCCACTGTAGCAGGTCAAACGGGCAAAAAATGGCACACAGAGTGGTTTATGTTACCCGTGTGTAACCACAACCAGGTCAACATGGTAAATGTTACCTGGTTAAATTTACTATTTGGTGCTGGAACGAGTTCATTTGTTTTTTATATTTCTGTTTTTTTCTTTTTTAAGCACTCTTTTTGTAACCAGGAAGTTGAGCTCTTGAGATGAGCGATCCCTTCTGTGCAGATATCCTGGCCCAACATCTAGCTTTTTGTTCCTGTCACAGGGTGAATCACAGGGACAACATGCAAACAAAGCATACGTGCTGCTCTTTGTATCTACCGAACTTGAATATGTAAAAGCAGAAGATGAGGACGAGGTTGATGTGGTCGCTCTGCATCTGAAGGCCACATTATCAGTTTTTCGAGCAGTGCACCTGCTAACTGGAAGGTTGGTGGTTCGATCCCAATCTGCTCCAGTCTACGTGCCAAATGTCCTTGGGCAAGATACTAACCCCAGGTTGCTCTCCGATGCATCATCAGAGTATGAATGTGTATGTTAGTTAGATAGCACTAATAAAACTCCAGAAAAGTTATTTGGTGAATGAACGAGTTGTGTGAAGCGCTTTGAGTGCTCAGATAGAGTAAAAAAGTGCTACATAAGAACAAGTCTATTTATTTAACCATTTTTTAACATTTCCTGTCATACACTGTTCCAGAGGTGGTTCCTATTAAGTATGCCCAATGTTTGTGATGAGGCGAGTGTATGTACGAGGAATCCCTGTGAGCCACATCCTCAAGCTCACAGCTCTGTGTGTAAGCACCCACCCAACCTAGTGTTTTTAAGGGTTAAACAAAGAGGAAAGCTCGGTTAAAGGGACAAATGAGCAAGATTAATTTAAACTTTAAATCATGCTTTAGTAGCTACAAAGAATAAACATAAAGAAACGAGCACATCTGATAGGAATGAAAACGAAGTGAAAGCTCATAAAAAAGTTTCGTACTGCAACACAGCTTTACTGCCTGACTCACGCATGTGTGCAGGACATTTAAAGTTAAGAAATTTGTGACTCATGAAGCTACATTTAAACAGGAGATATCACTGAGATGAGGAGATGCTACTGATGTTCTTTTTCTCACTTGAGAACTGTTATTTAACTTCTCCTGCCGACTTTGCTCCTTTACCAGCAGATGTCAGCAGCAGCTCGAGTGACTGCAGTGACCGGGTTGCTGCTGCAGCCTGTTGCACACACACGCTTGCTGATTTCATCAGTGGATGTTGCACCAGAGGAGTTACAGATGGTGCTTCGTGTTTACTCCGATCTCAGCATCCCCCAGAAGCCGGGGCCCTTTAAGCTTCTGTGATGCATTAAGTCGTTTGGGTTTTCCATGTGTCAGTCCTGCTGGGTAGTGATAAAAGTTACAACTGACAAATGACGGCCTCGCCTTCGCATGACGCTCTCCTGAGAGCGTTTAGTCAAAGCCGATGAAGCGTAAGAAATTATACAAGATTAAAGTGAAGGGCCGACTCGCAGCTGTCGAAGTATTGCGTGCATCCAACATAATTCATCAGCGAGTGTTTTTAGGCTCTGGGAAACACTGGCGAGTCAGCTGGGGAGCTTTGCCCCGACTTTTCTGCTCAGTCCTCTTTGCAGGAGGTGACTCTCAGGCAGATCAAGATTAACCTGAGTCATGCTTCCGACGCTTTCTGCTGCCACCACCAAACAGCAGGAACCCACCGGGTAGGAAATGACATCACTGCTCTGTGCTCATTGGCTGGGCGGTGCAGGAATGTTAAAAAGCTGCCTGCTGGGCGAGGCTGGTGACCAGACGCTGCAGAGTGGTAGTGACCACACATGGGAATATTTGAACTTTAATCAGAAGAAACCATTAGAGGAGCAGCAGGTGGAGGCAATGGGCTCTGACCAACATGTACATACTGAATGCACCATTACCTGATGCAGGGCATCTGCTGGGGATAATGAGTTATAGAAACTCCTCTGTGGAAGCAAAAATGTCATCAGTGCTTAAAACTAGGAGGCCGGATTGATTTGGGGTCTGCAGGGTGGTGTTAAAGCTCATCAGGAATGACCATGACGCTTGTTCTGAGTGTTCCTGCGGGCCGCAACCCACACATCATGATTCCCTCATTAAGAACGACTCCAGCCCACAAGTGTCAACACTTGCAGTG